GCAGCGGGGACCTGGCAGTGCTGGGGTCAGGGTTGGACTCCATGATCTTACAGACCTTTTGCAATCTAAGCAGTTCTGTGACTCCACGATTCCCTGGGCTGTGACTGTTCACATACACAACAGGGAGGACCCCACTGAAAGGATCAGACTTTGGGATTGGATTGGCCTGGATTAGGTTGATGGCTGGAGCAGCTCCCCATCTCAGTCACACTTTTCCAGCCTGACATCTCCATCTAGAGATGTTTCTGCCACACACCAAAGCTCCCAGGAGCTGCCGGCCGAGCTCGGGTCAGACCTTTGAGCCCAGGCAGCAAAGGTGGGTGACCGAGAGCAGCGTCCGGGCTCCCCGAGCTGCTGCTCACCACCCTGTGTCCTCTGGCCCGAGAGCCGCGTCCGGCCTCCCCGAGCTGCTGCTGACCACGCTGTGTCCTCTCCTCTGGACAGACCATCCTGGATCACATGCACCTGAAGTGCAAGTGCCACGGCCTCTCGGGAAGCTGCGAGGTGAAGACCTGCTGGTGGGCCCAGCCCGACTTCCGCGCCATCGGCGACTACCTGAAGGACAAATACGACAGCGCCTCCGAGATGGTGGTGGAGAAGCACCGAGAGTCTCGGGGGTGGGTAGAAACTCTTCGGGCCAAATATGCCCTTTTCAAGCCGCCCACGGAGCGGGATCTGGTCTACTACGAGAACTCCCCCAACTTTTGTGAGCCCAACCCAGAAACGGGCTCCTTTGGGACGAGGGACAGGACGTGCAACGTCACCTCCCACGGGATCGACGGCTGCGACCTGCTGTGCTGCGGCCGCGGCCACAACACCAGGACTGAGAAACGGAAGGAGAAGTGTCACTGCATCTTCCACTGGTGCTGCTACGTCAGCTGCCAGGAGTGCACGCGCGTCTACGACGTCCACACCTGCAAGTAACCCTGGGTAGGTCTCCGCCTGACGGGAGGGTGCCCCAGAGCAGGGCCGAGGGGTCCGTGGACCCCGTGACCAGCCCCCGCATGGTGGCCTCACGCTTCAAAGGGTGGCAGCAAAGAATCCTAACGCCCTTGCACAGGGCAGAGACCCTCCCAGGGCCGGCGCCAGCGCTGCAGAGAAGCCTCCCAGCACCCCACCCACCCAGGGGCTCCCCAGGCTGGACCTGGTGCTGCGGGCACAGTGAGCCCCTCAACTCCTGCCTCCCCTCCGGGGGCTGGCCCGACAGGCCG